ATCAGGCTTAATTACAGAAAGTGATTTGGATTCTTCAATGGCTTTCACTAATGGGAAAGATGGATCTAAAGGATTTGTGAAGAGAGTAGCTTCATCTTTCTCAATGAGGAAGAAGAAGAATGCAACAAGTACAGGAGTAAGCGATGTACCGAAGTTGCTTCCAAGATCGAAATCAACAGGTTCTTCTACTAACTATGAATCCATGAAGCTACTACCATCAAAGAAGATTTCAGATGTCACAAACAAAACAAGGATCAAATCATCAGCTAGCGTAATGCCGTTACCAAGAAGGGAAAAGATCGATGATCGCGGTGTTGGTGTGACGAATAAGAAGAAGTTTGGAAAATTTAGAAGCTTTGATGATAGTGATTCGGTTTGGTTATCTTCAGATTGTGCATCTCCTACTTCTCTTCTTGAAGAACGAAGGTTTTCTGTTTCGTTTCGTTTCTCGGTTGATGAGAGTGTAGTCTCTTGGTTATCAAACCTTGCCAATTCTTCTCTTTCTCTGAATCATCAAGAAGCAAGTTCCATTAAAGACCGTCGAAGAATGCCAAGGAACACTAAGGATAATAATGCAGAGAACATTCAGAAGAATGCTTCTAAGGGAAAGAACTCCACAGTTCCTGATTCTTCTACTCAGAGTTCACAAGGAAAGAAAGTTAGTTTCTCACCATCTTCAGGTACAGAACCTGAATCAGAGAAGTCTTCTCCTTCTCTGACAATCTCCTCTGATCCGAATAACCTCGCAACAACTTCTTTGGTTCTTGAGAAAAGTGCAGAGATTGTGGAAGTTAAGAGGAGTAGTAATGTCGATGAGCCGCTATTCTGGCCATATGAGCAGAGATTTGATTGGACACCAGAGGATATCTTGAAGCATTTCACCATGTCGCCTCGGAGAAAGAAGTTATTGAATGCCAAAGTTTCTGCAGGTACCTCACCAAGATCCATGAGAGCACAACTTCTCCAAACAAGAAAAGTAGATCTCAAAGATGGGAGTAAGAGAAAGCTTGTGTACAATGGTTCTGTAACAAATGCATACAAGATTCCAGAACTCA